CTAGGAGGGCTTCTGGTCACACAGCCTAAAGTAGCTTCCTAAATTCTGTCACTTACCCTGTTTTAATTCTTTGCACACTGTTTATTATTCTCTGGCATTTCCTGATTTTTTTTTCAAACGTTTATTTATTTTTGGGACAGAGAGAGACAGAGCATGAACGGGGGAGGGGCAGAGAGAGAGGGAGACACAGAATCGGAAACAGGCTCCAGGCTCCGAGCCATCAGCCCAGAGCCTGATGCGGGGCTCGAACTCACGGACCGCGAGATCGTGACCTGGCTGAAGTCGGACGCTTAACCGACTGCGCCACCCAGGCGCCCCTTCTGATTTTTATTTGTCTGGTGTGTTTCACGCACTGGAAGGTGAGCTCTGAGGGTGGGGCCTGTGTGCGTCATGCCCATGGCTGTGTCCCCAGAGCCCACAGCCCGATGCCGGCCTGAGCCTCTAGGTGCTTTGTGTTTGGTGAGTGACTACATGAAGCCACTTGCCTTCTTTAGCCCTAATTCCCAACTCTTGAGAGTGGCTCATTTGGAAGTGGAAATTTTATTCTTTAGGATTAAAACATGGATTTGAATTAGTGGAAAAACCTTAATCTATACCATTTCAGAAGAAACAAAAAACTTTGTCTTTATTAATGAGGGATTAAAATTCAGTTATCTTTTTTTTTTTCTCTTGTTGATCCATTAAAATAGTAGCAAAGGACCGAGGAAGTTCTAAAGCACAAGGAGATAGAAGACGAGAAGAGAGAACAGATGAGAAAAAATTCACCAGAGTTTGGTTGCGGGAGGGGGAGTGGGGAGGGGTTCACTGGGGTGCCAGCAGGAAGAGCGTGAGTAGGTGAGCTGTATTGGTCTGGATCCACATGGGCTCAGGACCCGGAGGCACCAGGGACTATGGCGAGGGGAGCCTAGACTGGCTCAGTTTCTCTGTGGTGTGGCTGGACCCCCATGTCCCCATTTTCATCCATTTCTTCCAGGCTGCTACATCCCTCCCTCCAAGCGGAAGGAGATGGGGCGCTGGCAGGGGTCCAGAGCTCAGTGTGTCAGGCAGAGTGGAGAGAGCAGGCCCGGGGCAGATGGGAAACGGTAAAGGTCTGAACATGTGCAGTGGGACCTGCAGCCAGGGTTCCCCTAGGATGCACAGGGCCGCAGGTATTTCTGCATGGTGTCTTTGTTTATAATAAACTATTAACTTGAGCCACATAAAATCAGCCTGTTAGCTCTGTTCTGGTGACCTAATCGCATGCGATCCTGTGATGAAAGTATGGTGCTGCGGGCACCTGGGTGGCTCAGTCAATTAAGTGTCCAACTCTTGATTTTGGCTAAAGTCATGATCTCACAGTTCGTGGGATCAAGCCCCACATCCGGCTCTGTACTGACAGTGCAGAGCCTGCTTGGAATTCTCCTCTCTCTCTGCCCCTCCTTCTCTCTTACTCTCTCTCTCTCAAAAAAAAAAAAAAAAAAAAAAAAAAAAAAAAAAAAAAAAAAAATAAATAAATAAACATTAAAAAAAAAAAAAAAGAAAATACCATGCTAGCTGGCAGGTTTCATCTGCTTGCCAGGTCACCCTCCTGGAACCATGGCCTGGCCATCAGGCTCCAGGATGCCTCCATAAATGAATCCTGGAGCCCCTATGGGGCATATGGTTAACACCTTTCACGAAGGAAGGGTCAGAGAGCACCGAGGGGGAGAAACGGAGACTAGGGCTCATGCAGGAGCCGGTCTGGACTTGGAGTACCTTACCTGGATTCCACTGCTGCCCCTGCCAATCCTGGGAGGACTCTGTGGCCATTCCTGGGGGGGGGGACCTGAGAGGGATGTTTGCAAAGAAGACATTTCAAAGCATGGTGTTCCTATGAAATGTGAGGTGTGGGCCATGGGTTCTGCTTGTTAGGGTCTAAGGGCTGTCCTGCTTGCAGCCTGCCTCCCCCACAGACTTCTGGTATGCTGGTGGTCAGACATCACTCAGGTAGGATAATCTCCGAGAGAGGACTTCTAGATACTTGAGTGTTCCCCAGAGAAATGGCTGATTCCTTGTCCATTCATCCTAGAGTGGAGCCCACCTCTCAAAGAAGTCCTGTCTATATACTCTGAGTCTCTGTGTAGTTATTTTCTCTCTTGAATATGAATAGGCAGCCAGGAAACATCAGACATCTGAGGAAAGCCTCCAACACGAATGACAAGCATCACATAAAACACACTTTAAAGAAAATAAAAAAAAACAGAGGAAATAGATCTAAATCAGAATATAGGGGAGAAAAAGCTCTAACATCCTCAGAGATGAAACATTACACTCATAACAGGGATGAAACAAGAACAGGGTGCAATGAAGCCAAAAAGAACGACCAAAGAATAAGAAGGAGGGCTTGGGGATTACAAATGCAGTGCTTGAAATAAAAAATGTAGTAGCAGATTTAGACAAGAAAGTCAGTGACATCAACCAGGAAGTAGAACAGCAAAGACAGGAGCCGGAAAATAAGAGAGAAATGATAAGGCACCAAGAGGATAAAGTCAAGGAGTCCAGCATTTGACAAACAGGAGTTCTAGAAAGAAAAACAGTGAGAGGAGAAGAAATTATCCAAGAAATTCTAAGCCAAGGTGTATTAGACTGGAAAGATCTGAGACTTCAGGCAGAAAGTTACCTGAGTGCCTGGCACAGTCAATGAAAGAAAATCGCCACCAAGGCACATCATGTAACTACGTTCAGAATGTCAGCGATAAAGAGAAAAATTAATATCTCATGCTGAAGATTGAGAATCCGAGTGGCAGTCCTGGATGCTAGGAGGTAAAGTCTTCTAAATTCTGCTTTAGGAAAATGATTTTTAATTAAATTCTATGCTCAGCCAAATGAGCTGTTATATCGGAGGGCAGCATATAGATGTTTTCAGCTAAGACTCAGTGAGTGTCTCTCTGTGCGTCCATAGCTGAGAAGTCCTGTTGCTGCCAAATGACGAAGTGGCTAGAAAAAGAACAAGGAACAAAGAAACAAGAGCTTCAACTCAGGGAGGGCTGAGAAATGAGTCCCTGGTGGGTGGACAGACAGGAGACTCCGGTAACAACCAGTTGAGTTGGGAGAAAAAGGGAGGCTGGCATCTGGGGGCAGTGATGATCCTGGAAAAATAATAACTGCTGTTTATCTGTTATAATAATAAACACAGTGGGGCACCTGGGTGGCTCAGTCGGATAAGCGTCTGGCTTCGGCTCAGGTCATGATCTCACGGTTCGTGAGTTCAAGCCCCGCATCGGGCCCTCTGCTGTCAGCAAAGAGCCTGCTTCAGATCCTCTGTCCCTGTCTCTCTCTCTCTCTGCCCCTCCCTAACTAGTGCTCTCTCTCTCTCTTTGTCTCAAATAAATAAACATTTTAAAAAATCTTTAAAAAATAATAAACACAGAGAAAGATCTACCACAGGTCTTAGAGAAGTTTGGGAAAACTCAATATTCAACTTCAGGATAAAACAATTATAAACTCAGGAAAGAAACAGCCATCATACTACCATGTTTTACTAAATATAAGATGCCATTATTAGTTACGTAACGACTTGTCAATCATCATGTTAAGAAGAAAGAAAAAACCGTTGCCCATGAAAAAGGCAGATTGTAGGTTGTGAGACATATACCCACGTTTCACAGATTGTGTTAGAAGGCTAAAGAACATCACAGCGCCCCAGTCTGGCTTTGCGGTGAGCCATATTTAGTCTGACCCATTGATTTCACCACAGAGAGCGATGTCGACATTGTGAGGATGAAGAGAGGGAAAGTGCGGGTGTGTACCTGTGTGAGAAACATTAGTGCTAAATAGTCATGAAGCAAAAATGAAAGGCAGTAGTTTAATGCCTAGAATTGATACATCAAAATATTAGCCGCATTAGGCAGACGGAGATGTAACCACACGAAGGAGCAGGCAAAATAAGGGAGAATGGTGGCCTCTGGGCACTGGGGAAGGGTGGGGTAGGTTGGGGTGAAGTGGTTTGGAGACTTGCCGGTTTTTATTGTATTAAAAATTTTTTTTTAATGTATATTTGAGAGAGAGAGAGAGAGGACAAAGACAGCTTGAGAGGGGGAGGGGCAAAAAGACCGAGACAGAATCCGGAGCAGGCTCCAGGCTCGTAGCTGTGAGATATCAGCACAGAGCCGGATGCAGGACTCGAACCCACAAGCAATGGGATCATGACCTGAGCCGAAGTCGTATGCTTAACCAACTGAGCCACCCCCAGGCGCCCTGAGACTTGGTGGTTTTATTCCATTTATGTATGTATGTATGTTTATTTTTGAAAGACAGAGAGAGACAGAGCGTGAGCAGAGGAGGGGAGAGAGAGAGAAAGAGGGAGACACAGACTTCGAAGCAGGCTCCAGGCTCTGAGCTGTCAGCACAGAGACTAAGGTGGGGATTGAACTCAGAAACCGTGACATCATGACCCTAGTGGAAGTCAGATGCTTAACCGACTGAGCCACCCAGGCACCCCATAGGCTGGCTGGTTTTTTAAATGAGCCTTTGGCATATAATGCACGTTTGACCAAAGGTAGAGGAAAATACACACACACACACACACACACACACACACACACACACACACAGCCCTTTTGGAGATTAAGAGAGGGGCAACAATTGCAGAAGTGGGGCAACCCTGCTTGTCTCTGAAATACCTTATTCGGACATAAGGTTAGGACATGGTCCTATCCTGCTTCACTGGCCCCCAGGAAGACGGGTACTTACTCGCCTTTCCCCCCACAATGCAAGATGGCCCAGCGTCCCCTTTTCTTTGCAGAAAGCTTTAGAGTCTACACATTGTTCCATGTGTTTTTACCCATTTGATCCTTCCCGCTGCCTGGATTAGGCCGAATGAACTGTTGCCATTTCATGCGTCAGAGCCGGAAACTGAGCCGCCACACCACCTGCCGGGCCGACCCACCCCGCCCCGCCGCGCGAGGGCTCAGCCCCGCTCAGCCGCACAGGGGCGCTTCTCTCTCGTGACCTCACGCCCCTCTGTCCCCATGATATTTTAGAGGAAAGAGGAAGAGGAGCGGAAGCGGGGAGAGGAGCAGATTCGCCTCCAGGAAGAGCAGAGGGCGAAGGAACTCTACTGGACCCTGAAGCAGGCCCAGCTGCAGAGCCACGCCAGCGAGAAGGAGGAGCGCGAGTGGGAGGAGCAGCGTGAGTACTCAGGCCTGCCTCCCCGCCCACCCTCCTCCCACTTGTGTCTGTGCTGCGTCCTCCTTCCGGTTCGCTCGGGCGCGCGGCCCACACGACTTTAGCCGGGCCCACCCACGCGCGCGGCCCTGCCGAGGACCCAGAGGGTAAGGGCTCTCTGCCTAGGGGGGAGATTTCTTACACTAAAAAACAAAACCCTACATTTACTGAGCCACCAGTACTTCACTGGCCAAGCCCTGGGCATCCAGAAATGAGGGTTCATGGTGCTTATCTTGGAGGGACTCATGGGCCAGACTCACAGGCGACGGGCTTGGACGGGGAAAGTAGCACGTACTGCTGGAACAGAGAGTGGGGATCCTGGCGGGCTTCCAGATGCAGCATTACGGAGTGGAGCTTGATGGGGGGCACAGGAACAACTGAGGCAAACAAGTGGAGGAGGGAGAGGGCGCAGGAGATGGAGACCCCAACAGGTGTAAAGGCATGATGACCGGAGTGTGGGGTGCTCAGGAGGGTGGAGATGTACGGGGGTGGCGAAAAGGCTTGGATGCTGTCGGTGGCGAGAAGTTAGGTGGGAGAGGGAAGGCGGGACCAGATTTGCAAGGTGGTGTTTCAGTATGTGCTCGGGGTTCGTTTGAATCAGGTCTGGTGTCACATGCAGATGTGGAGATGTGGATCTTGCAGGAGGAAGTTTTTACTTGAGGGGGCGGGGCTACGTGGGGAAGGCCTGGGGCCAGTCAGGAGGCGGTGGGAGCCAGGGGACAGTATGGGCCAGAGCCCTTGCTGTGGTTTGCTTGGGAAAGGGAGGGCCAGGCAGGGTAAGCAGGTTTAGGATTGGCGGGCTTGAATAATTTCTGCAGTCTCTGGGGCATAGGGGCTGTCTCTGGTTGCCTGACACCTGGCCCCGGGGTGATGGGGGCATGTGGATAGTGACCCAGAGTATAAGAACTAGATAAAGGAAATGGTTGGGATGTAGGTTTTTGATTGGCTGGTTTACAAATCACTGATTGTGATTGTGATTTGATTGGCTGGTTTACAAAGGCACACTTGCACGTGAGCCCTTTAGTATCTTTGGGACTTGGCTAACTCTGGGAGGGGCAGTCTCTCTGGGCTCAGGTGTGAAAACGTCAAAAACTATGGAAAATAAAAAGGCATGGTTCATGCAGGTGGACAGTGGGAAGCATCCAGAAGTGGGCTTGGGAGTGAGAGGGAGGAGGGAGGAGGCTGTTGCCGGGGTACACGTTGGAGATGATTGGAACCAGGGCCGCAGCAGGGAGAGCGGAGATGTGGGGTGACTTCTACTCGCCAGCCCTCTGGTCCTCCAGCTTTTCTCAACCACAAGCCAGAGTCCTCAAACAGACCTTAAAAAAATTGAAATACAATTCACATGACATAAAATTCACCGTCCTAAGGTGTACAATTCAGTGGCTTTTAGTATACTCGCTACGTTGTGCAGCCTTCACCACTATTAGTTCCAGAATATTTCGTCACTGCAAAGAGAAACTCTGTACACATTGGTTATTCCTTCTCTTGCCATGCCTCTGGAAACCACTGATGTAATTTCTGTCCTTATGCCTTCGCCTATTACAGATATTTCATATAAATTGAATCATGCGTTACGTGGCCTTCTGTGTCCGACCGCTTTCATTCAGCATGCTTTCAAGTCCAGCCATGTTGTAGTTTGGGTCAGTACTTCATTCCTTTTTGTGGTGGAATAAAATTGGAATGTAGGCATGTGCCACCATGTTGTTTATCCATTTGTTAGCTGATGGACCTTTGGGTTGTTTCTACTTTTTGGCTATTATGAATAATGTTGCTGTGAACATTGGTGGGTTTTTGTGTGCACATATTTTTCCGTTCTCTTGGGAGTGGAATTTCTAGGTCATATGGTAACTATGTTTAGCATTTAGAGTAACTGCCATACTGTTTTCCAAAGTGACTGTACCGTTTTACATTTCCACAAGCAGTATATGAGGGTGCTAGTTTCTTCCCATCTTTGCCAATGCTTGGTATCTTTTGTCTTTTTTCTTTAATTTTTTAAACGTTTATTCATTTTTTTTAAAATTTTTAATGTTTATTTATTTTTGAGAGAGAGTGAGTGCTGGGGAAGGGCATAGAGAGAGGGAGACACAGAGTCCAAAGCAGGGTCCAGGCTCCAAGCTGTCAGCCCAGAGCCTGATGTGGGACTTGAACTCACAAAGTACGAGATTATGACCTGAGCCAAAGTCGGACGCTTAACCGAGTGAGCCAGCCAGATGTCCCCGTTTATTTATTTTTTGAGAGACAGAGCATGAATGGGGCAGGGTGGGGGGCGGAGAGAGAGGGAGATACTGAATCTGAAGCAGGCTCCAGGCTCTGAGCTGTCAATGCAGAGCCTGACGCGGGGCTCGAACTCACAAACCATGAGATCATGACCTGAGATGAAGTCGCCTGCTTAACTGAGCCACCTAGGCACCCCTGGTCTTTTTGATAATAGACATTCTAACAGGTGTGAGGTGACACCTCATTGTGTCATTTGATTTGCATTTCCCTGGTGATTAATGATGTTGAGCACTTTTTCACGTACCTGTTGGCCATCTGAATATCCTTTTGAAAAAAATATCTGTTCAGGTCCTTTGCCTATTTTTAAATTGGGTTATTTGTTTTGGCTAATCGAGTTGCATGGGTTCCTATATATCTTGGATATTAACCCCTTATTAGGTGTGTGGTTTACAAAGATTTTTGCCTATTCCACAGGCCGCCTTTTAATTTTGTTGATGGCTTCCTTTGCTGTGCAGAAGCTTTTCGAATGGATGTAATCCCACCTGTTTAATTTTGCTTTTGGTGTCATATCCAAAATATCATCGCCAAGACCAATGTCAAGGAACTTTTTTCCTAGGTTTTCTTTCAGGTGTTTTACAGTTTCAGGTCTTACATTTAAGCTTTTAAGACATTTTGGGGTGATTTTTGTGTATCCTGTGAGATAAAGGTTCAATTTCATTCTTTTCTAGTAGCTGTCCCAGGTGTTTTACAGTTTCAGGTCTTACATTTAAGCTTTTAATCCATTTTGGGGTGATTTTTGTGTATCCTGTGAGATAAAGGTTCAATTTCATTCTTTTCTAGTAGCTGTCCACTTTTCCCTGCACCTTTTATTAAAGAGACTATCCTTGCCCATTATGGATTCTTAGTGCCTTTGTTGAAAATTAGTTGAGTATATATGCATAAGTTTATTTGTGAACTCTACATTCTTTTCCATTGGCCTGTGTGTCTTTTTATGTCAGTACTATACTGTTTTGATTACTATAGCTTTGTAATATAATTTGAAATCATGAAGTGAGATACTTCTGGCTTTGTTCTTCTTGCTGAAGATTGCTTTAGCTATTGAAATCTTTTGTGGTTCCATACGAATTTTAGGATTATTTTTTTCTATTTCTGTGAAAAATGCCATTGGGATTTTAATAGGGATTGTTTTGAATCTGTACATTGCTCTGAGTAGTATATTTATTTTAACAATATTAATTCTTCCAGTCTATGAACACAGGATAAATCTTTCCATTTGTTTGTGTCTTCTTCAATTTCTTTCCTCAATGTCGTATAGTTTTTAGTGTACAGGTCTTTTGCCCCCTTGGTTAAATTTATTTCTAGTATTTTGTTCTTTTTTTTTTTTTTTTTTTTTTTTCTTTCCAAGCTTTTATTTAAATTCCAGTTAGTTAACATATAGTGTAATATTAGTTTCAGGTGTAGAATTTAGTGATTCATCACTTACATACAACACCCAGTGCTCACCCCAACAAGTGCCCTCCTTAATCCCCATTGCCTGTTTCCTGCACCCTGATGCTATTGTAAATGGGGTTGTTTTATTATTATTTTTTTGCTGATTCACTGTTAGTGCATAGAAACACAACTGACATTTGTATGTTGATTTTGTATCCCACCATTTTAATTTGTTTATTAGTTCTAACAATTTTTGGGTAAAATTATTAGGGTTTTCTATGTGCAAGGTCATGCCGCCTGCAAACAGAGATAGTTGTACTTCTTCCTTTCTGATTTGGATGCCTTTTATTATTTTTTTCTTGCCTAATTATTCTGGCTAGAACTTCCAGCATTATGGTGAATAAAAGTGGTGACAGTGGGCATTCTTGTCTTGCTTCTGATCTTAGAGCAAAAGCTTTCAACCATACACTGGGGCTTATGAGGTTAGTTATGGGCTTGTCATATATGGCTTTTATTATGAGGTACATTCTTTCTATCCCCAATTTCTTGAGAGTGTTTATCATGAAAAGATGCTGAGTTTTGTGAAATGCATTTTCTGCATCTACTGAGATGATCATGTGATTTTTATTCTTCTTTTTGTTACTGTGGTGTGTCAGAGTTATTGATTTGCCGCTATTGAGCCATCCTTGCATCCCAGAATACATCCCACTTGATCGCGGTGTATAGAGCATTTGGAAAGGCTTCCATGGAGGAAATGGCATTTGGTTTGGGAAAAACGGAGAGGTAAAGAAGGCAGGGAAGGGCATCACAGCAGAGGGAGCAGCACTGAGCAAAAGCAAGGTCATCATCGTGCTCATAGGGCATGGCACATGTTCCGAATTGGCTGCAGCCTGGGGTTCCTGGTGAACAATGACGAGAATGAGGCTAGAAAGGGAAGATAGGCAAGAGCTAAAGAACAATTCATTTAGATTCAGAACGGAAAAAGAGAGGGGAGAAACAAGAAGGCGGGACAAAGGTTTATACTGAAAATACGGTGAACAGTTACAGGGTGAAGTCACATGAGGCTACTCTAGTGTGGGAGGGGGAGGAGCCCTGGACTGGGAACCCCACCCCAGCTCTGCCACTGGCTAGGGTGACTGTGGACCAAGTTCGTGCTCAGTTGCTCAGTTTCTGTTTTGTACAGTGGGGGCATCCGTGTTGAGTTGAGGCTTGTTGGGAGGGTAAAGGGAGAGGGAGGATGTGTCACTCAGGAGCGTTTTTCTTCTGGTAGTGACACGATGAGGTGGGCCGTTATGGGCTGGGCTGGTGTTTCC